CTTTTTTTCTAGCAATCACCTATTTTCCCCCAAATCCCAGGAAATCGGTTTCTTCAAAATTCAGTCCTACTGGCAAAACCTGGCTAGAAAATTCGAAAACTACTCAGAGTGCAGAGGGAGGGAGAGAATCCCTGCAGGAACAGGAGGTTTTTTTCCTGTAGAAACCCTCCTAAAAACAACCACGCACAGGTGCAGCAGCTCTGGGGCAAGTTCTCACCTGCTTTCTGTCTTATTAAACACAAACAGGAAGCAGAAGGGACTGGACAACCCACCCTGAATGGGAGGGTTTGTGTAGCCAAATCCCAAAGGCTTTGGAAGCTTAATGAGCCGGTGAGCAGGTTATGTAGGGGGCACTTGAGCATCATTGAGATGCAGCCACCTCCTTTCTGGAGTGACAAACATTTAACGAGGCACAGGAGCTCTGAACGAGAAGAGAACAGAAAGGTCGGCTTTAAAATGCGGGATTAGAAACCGAAATTTCTGAGCAGAGCGTGGCCACCTCTGCGGGAGGGTTTCTCTGCTTGGAGGAGGGAATTTTCACCTGGAATCTCCCAGGTTTGGCCATCTGGCAGCTCAGCCCCGGCTCAGGCAGTCAAACTTTAGCTTTTAAATTTCAGTTTTGGTCGATTAAGATGAAAACTACCACTTGTTTGGCCACGCAGTGCACTACAAACAGACTCAGACTTTTTCTAAGTCATTTATCCCGCAGGTTTGTGTTCTGTCCTTCCCTCTACCAACTGGAAAGAAGGGAGATGAATCATTTCATTCTGTACCTCTGCTCACAATAACCCAGGACTGCAACTGCCTGGATTAACAGCTCCCAAGGAGTCTATTTACATACATGCCACAAAAACCTGCTTTAAACGATATTTAAATATTAAAAAGCTAAGTCCCATACATTAAATTTCAAATATCACAAAGATTTTTCGCTTTAAATTCACAAAGCCTTAATTATTAAGGAGCTACATCACATTTTGCCTTTCTTTCAGCAAAGTTTAAAAATAACAAGCTGGTGAAGGAGTGAGGATACAAGAAAGGAATTCAGTTGGTTTAGTCACAAATGTAATATGCTCCTGTGAAATTAAGTTCTCACCAGAGCAGAACTTTGACAACTGAAGCTCTAAATCCAAGTAAATAGAAAGAAATGAAGGGAAAAATAAGGCCTATTTTTGTAGCTTTTAAACTGTTGGTAATTAAAAAAGGCAATGAAATATCACCACTTTAATCAGCAAAACATTTTCTTGCCTTTTTTTAAAAACCATGGGTAGGTTCACACCCTGCCACCTACGAGCTAACTGGGAAATCTTCCTTTTTTTCTTCTTTACAAGCAGCTAAAATCATCTCTATCTGTGGCTGTCACGCTGTGGTAAATGGATTCCTGGGAATCAATGGACTCTTCCCAGCAGCTTCAAGCAAACTGACAGAAAAATAAAAAAGCAATTCATATTTTCTATACAGCTGTTTGCACAGCTGACATTTCTGGGCCTGCACCTCCGTTGGAATTTTAGATTAGGAATCCAAGAATTGGAGTGTTTGCACTCTCTATGTCCCCCTACACATTATAAACGTGGTTATTTCCACTCAGTTTATACTTGTTACTGTTTAAAACAGAGCTAGAGATCCCACCTGTGTTCCTGACTGGACTGAAATCCAAGCTCTTTTTGCTCCAGGAGTTGTGTGCTTCCAGCTTTATTCCCTTACAGCTAAAGGCTGGTGCAGCCAACACAGAAATGCCTCATCTCCTAACTAAAAAAGTCATGTAAAAAAGACACAAAGCACATAAAATATGCCCAGCTCAGCTCAGAACTTTCCTGGCAGGGTTTGTAAATTGGATGGAAGTTTGACAGTGGGGCAGAAGGAGCACGAATTGAGGGGTTAATTCCAGATGTTCGGGCCCTTGGAAAAGCAGGTCCTGCACAGAAATCTGGTTCCCACAGAGCATCCCTGGTGATCTCAGGGAGGGCAGAGTGACAGAGCAGAGAGGGGATGGCTCACACCTGCAGCTCCAAAACATTCCAACCTGTGCAGGTTAAAGCCAGTGCTCTGAATTCCAGCTGAAGGCAACGACTCCTGCAGTGCTTTCCTCCAGTATTAATATCAGGTGCCAGCTTAAAGTCCGGGAGGAAATTAGGAACTGGAATTGCCCAAGCCAAAGCACGTTCCAATTTTTGGGAGTCTGACACTTTCACTGGATTCTGAATCAGGTCTGGAGTCACAAAAATCCCATGATGGTTTGGGTTGGAAGGGACCTTAAAGATCCTCTCGTTCCAGCCATGGACAGGGAACATTCCAGTAATCCATCACCTCTACCCTGACATTCCAAATTCAACCCAAATCTATGAGAAAAGAGGATGAAGGCATCTATTCCTCCTCACACAATCCTGAGATTCAGACACATCTCTGGAAAAATATAAGGTGAAGAATCTGATCTTATAATTCCCAGCCCCTAAATTGATACAAAGGTCTAAAAATGCTCCAGTGCAGACCCCAGACAAGGCTGTAATTCCCCTTCCCTCTCTCTGCCCTGATGTAAGACTCTAAAAGCTAAAAGAGCTCTGCACTTCCACTATGGTTTTTACTTAAAGATTTCCCAGTTTGCTTTTCCCCATTGAATTATATCAGACTCTACAATCACATCCAGAGGTGTTTGGTTTTGCAGTGTTTGTGATATTCACCCATATCTTTATCCCACAGGTAAGATTATGCAGGATCAAGCTCTTTGCCCGCCTGCCCATGGAATTAATTGTACACATCTCCACAGACAGTGATTTCCTGGAAGTCTCAAAACAGCCCAGAACCCAAGTTCACTTCTAGGAGGCTTTGTCAAAACACACTGTGCAGCCTTGAAACCAAGAGACAATTTTTTACATTGGATAACAGTGTAATTTCAGGTTAAATAAATCAAGTGTTATCGTATTTTGAAACTTGCTAGGATTTTCACCTCCAGACCAAGAATTGCAGCACGTTATGTGAAACAGAAATTCCTCCTGGAAAATAAAGTGGTGCCTGAATCCAAGGTCTGTAGGAAGATTAAACAGTTAAAGAGGGAGATCTTGAGATACACCAATAACACGGGTAATGTATTTTCTGACAGAAGACTGCAATATCAGAACCAAAATCCTTGTCAGGAGCAAAGTGCACCCCTGGCAAAGCAGTTCCAGGCTGATTTTTTTTTTTTTTTATTACCTACTACCTGTACTATCACAGTGTCGATAGAAAACGACTTTATTAAGAACCACGAGGTTTTATTCCCGTGGCTGTCGGAGCCCAGCACAAGCCACACGTGGAAAGCTCCACGGCAGGCTCGTGTTTAAGGGCAGGAAGGCTGACAAACACCTTCTCCTCCTCCTGAATCCCACTGATACTTGATTCCATCCAACATCCTCGTCCCTCAGCCCCCTCCCCGCTTCCTCAACATCCCCCAGCTTCAGGATCGCCCCCCCCCCCCCCCGGGCCTCAGTTTCCCCTCACGCCCGGCGGGGTTGAGGCTGCGCAGCCCAGAGGAGACCCCGGTTCTCCTCCCGCCGCTGGGGGAAGGCCGAGCCCCCCTCCCTGCCCTCGCTGTCCCCCGCTCCAGGCACTCACCAGCTTCATCGCGTCCCCCGGTTCTATTTACCGGGACAATCCTGCCCCCCCCTTCCTGCCCGCCCCGCCGCGCCCCGCAGCATCATGGGAGTCGTAGTCCCGCCGTCCTCCTCGCCCTGCATAACGTCATGGCCTCACCCCCGTGGCACGCCGGGAGTTGTAGTCCGCACCGCGCTCAGCCCCGCCGCCCCATTGGCGCTCCGCGCGCCCGTGGCATGCTGGGAGTTGTAGTCCCGGCGCCGCGGGTCTCCCCGTCACCCTGGGGAGGGGGGAACTACAAGTCCCAGGGTCTCACAGCTGCAGCAGGTGGGGGCTCGGATGTTGATATCAACATGGCGCTTGTCAGACAGACAAAGACAGTCGGTCTGGTGTGATTGAGCCAAAAAAAAAAAAAAAAACAACCCCAGGAAAAAAAAAAAGAGAGGGAGCGGGCTAGGAGGAGGGAGCGGCAGGAGGAGGGCCGGGCGGGGAGGGGGCCGTGTCCTCGGGGGGGGGGGGGGGGGGGG